CAGCCAGCCTCTGCTGCAGCCCACCAAGGCTGATGCCAAGGAGGGCCAGAAGCCCAAGGCGGTGCAGCTCATCGAGAACGACCCCTACGAGAAGCCGGAGCGCGTCCTGCGGCTCCTGGCGGAGCTGGACCGCTTCCGGGGCCTAGTGGAGCGCCTGGAGCGCCCGGGGCCCGGCGGCGCCACTGAGCTCGATGCCGTCTGGAAGGAGCTGCAGGATGCCCAGGAGCGGGATGCCAGGCAGCTCTCCATCGCCATCGCCCGCTGCTACTCCATGAAGAACCGTCACCAGGACATCATGCCCTACGACAGGAACCGTGTCGTCCTCTACTCGGGCAAGGACGACTACATCAATGCCAGCAGGGTGGAGGACCTATCGCCCTACTGCCCGACCATCATCGCCACCCAGGCCCCGCTGCTCGGCACCGCTGCCGACTTCTGGCTCATGATCTACGAGCAAAAGGTCTCTGTCATCGTCATGCTGGTGTCGGAGCAGGAGCTGGACAAGGTAGGCTCTTCCCTGCCCGCCCAGTGCTGGTGCCGCGTGAGAGCTCGGCTGGTGAAGCACGCTGGCCCTGGGCTAGAGCTCTCTGCAGCCCTGAAGGAGGTGGAGGGAGGTTCCCTGTCCATCTCGGTGCCTGTCGCCCTCTCCTCACGCAGCCAGGGTCATGAGGGGTCCTAAGGTGCTGAGACCAGCTCTTGGTGGCCATGGGACAAGGGACACCAAAGCCTGGGTGGCTCTTCTGCTCCTTCCCAGGTGCAGCTGCAGCTGTGCCGCAGCTCCCGGCCCTGGCAGGGGTGGGTGAGGCTGGGGAGGGATGGCTTGGGGACGAGTGTCCCCAGGCAGCTCCTCGGTGGCCGGAGCTGCTGCCCCGTGGTGAGAGGGTGACGTGGGGCTGTCACGGGTGTCGTGCCCCACATCAGCTCCCCACTGCTTTTTCCATCCTCTCCCCTCAGCAAAAGGCTGGCTCCCGCGCGGGGGGGGCCCCAGCCGGGGGTGCAGGGGCCCATCACCCTCGTCCTCACCAGCCTCAAGGCCACCCCCACCCACGTGGAGAGGATGATCACGCTGCAGTACCGCGACCAGAGCCTCAAGCGCACCGTCATCCACCTGCAGTTCACGTCCTGGCCGGAGCTGTATGGCATGGGGGCAGGGGACAGGGTGTGGGGGGCGGTGTGTGTGTGTGGGGGGGGCGGGATGTGACCACGTATGTGTCCT